CCTTAACCCAGTGTACTGCTAACACTCGTCGCCGACCGCCCACCCCCAGTCGACTGTAACTCAAAACCCAAACCCCCCACCAAAAAAACACCCCCCACAACCCAACCTACATCTACCACCGCCTCCAGCCACACCCTCCCCAAGCTAAACCAACCCCAACTAAACACTAACTAACAACCCTACGCATCACACCCCCATCCCGCACCGAAAACCCACCACCTGACCAACAACCACAAGCCTAATTAAAAAAAAAAAATATGAACCTCCCCATCGACCGGGAAAACGAACCAGAAATCCACCATCTGCGACGACTCCAACCCTATCTAAACCCTAACTAACACCCCTACGGACCTCACCCCCTCCCACGGTTGGAAACCAGGACCTAAAAACCCACCAACCAACCGCAACCCATAACCCCCAAAAAAGTAATGAAAAACACAATTAAACAACAACGACAAAGGAAGAAAACAGAGTAAAGAATAGCTTGAACACCAACATGGACTTCTTCAGTCGTTTGGATCGACGCAACGTAGAAGCATCCATGGTCACTCCGAAATTTTGAATAGAGAAACCAACAAGAGAGTGTACGCGTGAAGTGAGGGAAGATTAGAAGTCAGAAAAAAATAATGGAGGCTATGTATTAATGAGAAGAGAGAATCACGGTTAAACAAAAAATACAAAGATGCATAAATTTATTAAATTACTTAAATACCCCTAATTAAAATTCTAGGCACACGGATTGAAAAAAAAAAAAAACAAAAGAAATCTAAACCATTGAATTAATATATTAAATGGTTAGGATCTGATCTCACAATCTCACCTAAATAAGATGACCTCACCATATCCAACACACACACTAGTAATACTAGTAACTAGTAACTAGTAACTAGTAATAGTAACTAGTAACTAGTAATAATAATTGTCTCGTGCGATGCACGGACTATTATTAATTTAATAAATTTAACAATTAAATTTTTGACATCTTCTAAATTAGCAAAGAAATTAAAGTAATGGTTGTAGAAACAGAAAAACGTACTTGAGTTCATCAGTTCAGAATTAATTTTATTAAAAATGTAACTATAACTATATAATGTAATATTTAATATTTTTAAAGTTTAATTGTGTTATTATTATGTTGATTTTAAAATTTTCAAAAAAAAAAAATGTTGATTTTAAAGTTTGTTGTTACTTATATTATTATTTAAATTTGAATTTGAAATAACTACTTTAATTATATAACTAATGTATTTAAATATAATTTGTAAATAAAATAACAGGTAATATTTGTCGAAAATCTCCACCAAAAACTTATTCATTTGAAAAAGATTATTTTATATCTAATTTCTCCTTTTTATATATGTGGACTCAAATGAATTATAATTATTGAGGTTTATATGAATATATACAAAAATTATATTAAATATAAAATTTTATCAATAAATTTGAGCATAATAAACTTTTTTCCTACTTCATTTTGCTTTAATATATATATAGAGATAGATATAGAGATAGAGATATAATAAAATATAATTTATAAAATATAAATACACATAATAACTTAAAAAAAAATATGTATAAATACAACTAACCACACAATTAATGCATTCATTCTTGCTAATCTTGTTTCTATCAAAATACATTCAATTCGTACTTGCTAATCTTGTTTCTATCAAAATGCATTCACACTTTGGAGGAAAAATTTTGTGGCCAATCATTTTGCTTTAATATATATAGAGATAGAGATAGAGATAGAGACATATGAGGTTGTGTTCAAATGAGAACAATTCACTCTTGTAAAAAGTAATGATTAATTTTAGTCACTCATATGGGTTCATCAGTGATTGAGTGTTTATATATGTAAAAAAAAAAATTATAAAATCAATTTTATAATTATTACAAACTTTCAAGTTTAATTTGCAATGTTTATAAAACTATCTCCGCTCTTTATTTCACTTATTTTTCAGTCACCATTAATTACTGATTTACCTAAATGGATGAATAAGAATATAAAATCAATCTCCACTTTGTATCTAACGATATATTCTCACCTGAACTCTCACACACATCATTTTAACGGTATGAATGCAGACATTTTATTTTATTTTTGCCCCAAATCAGATGATATATATTGAAATGTCTTCTCTAATTAGATAAGCATTTACGCCGCCATGATATACCATTTTCAAAGTCTAATAGAATTTTATATTTATCTGCTTATATATCTAATCAAATTAGTTGTTTAGCATGCATATGTCATTAATTAAGTCAGACTTCAACTTGATATATTATGTAGTACGTAAGTAATTGCAAGAATATAATAATGAATTTTAATTTGTTAGATAATCTAAATTAAAAGAAGTCAAATAATTTCCGAAGTTAATTGCACGTACGGTGCCATGCTTAAAGAAAAACTTTGAAATGTTTGATCAACAACTGTTTTAAAACCTAAAATGCTAATTTTTTTAAAGACGTTAATTGGAAAATTTTTTGAGAACATTTTTTTTTAATTAAAGAAATTCTACCATGTCAAAATGGTATGGTACCTATTACTATATATATAAAAAAAAAGATATAAATACATTTTTTTTTAAAAATAATTATTTTTTTTTAGTACTAGTGATTGTATTATATATAATGCAGTATCTTGTTCAATACTCTCACAACCTCCTATATGAGAGAGTAACTTGGTGTCACTGAACCACAAAGTCCTCGATGAATTAAAATTATTTAAATTTTCTGTCTATTATTACAAAGTCGTGTTGTGCTAACACAAACATTTACGTCACTCTTAGACTTGTGTTGCTTGAAACACTTGTGATGTGCACTTTCTTATCTTACTATTTATAAACCTCTACTGTTGGTGATGTTAGTAGCATCTATATGCCATCTAATCACTGTTGCAAAAATATGTCTAAGCGTTAGGCGCCCCTAGACCGTGGCGATTTTCCCCTAGACGCCCGCCTAGGAGACCGGCCGCCTAGGCGTCCGCCTAGCGCCTAACTCGGCCGACTTGACCGCCTAGCGTCTAACTTAGCTAAGTTAACTCATCCATTTCGGTCGAGTTAACCCAATCAGCTCGGCCTGGCTAATTTTTTATCATTATATATATATATATATATATATATATATGTATATATATATATATATACATATATATATATATATATATATATATAAATATATATAATATGACATATATACACCCGTAGACTAGTTTGATACTTTGAATCTTTGGATGATTAAAATATTTGAGTATTTCGTATTTGAGTATTTTTAATTTTTAATATTGTTTTGATGTTATGACGTATGAATTATCATTATTTCATTTATTTGGATGTGTTATTTGATTGAATGTTGAAAACAACCTCATTAAAATTGTAAAACTGCAAGTCTGCAACTGTTTTTTTTTACGCCCGCCTAGATTCCGCCTAGGCCGTTTAGGCGCTAGGCGCTGCCCGGGCATCGCCTAGCGCCTACTGCAACCTTGCATCTAATAGACTCTTGCTATTGATAGATTCTTGTTGCTATTAAGGTTGTAAAGTACACTAGGTGCTAGTCGGGCTCTAAAGGCCCGCGCGCCTAGCACCTAGGCGGAAGACCAACAATAAAAAGAAAAAAAAGAATTGTGCGTGTGTATTGTATAATATATATTATATAATTATATATTATTTTTATATATACACACACATAAAAAAAATATTACACATGGATCTAGGAATTGCAAAAATAAAAAAAAATAAGTAATAATAATAATAATAATAATTCGACCGAGTCAACCAAGTTAACTCGGTTGATAAGTATAAGAGTCTTTCTGACCCAAAGTTTGTTTATACACTGATATGGAAACATTCTTTGCCCTATGATTCTTAAGCCATGCAAGTAAAAGATTTGGCAGCAGATTTTCATGGATTATGGCAGCTTTTGGACAACTACTAGTTGTTGAGTGACAACGTGTAAATTCAAATTTAAAGTTGGCACTTATCCCTTCTCATCTATAAAAGAAGGACCTTGCTTAGAAGTAGATGCACTACGTACTAGAAATTCTGAAATTTCCTACCGCCTGAAAGTTATCTTAAATAAAGTTGAAAGCCTTGTTTCCGACCACTTTTGGTATCCGAAAAAACCTTTACTGCTATTTCCGACCACTTTTTGCTTTCAATTTAATTTAAGATCACTTTCACGTGGTCGGAAATTTCATAATTTCCAGTAGTGATGCTAGTTAATACTGAACTTATTGTGATATATTGTTGAAAGTTATTGAGTGAGAAATTGCAAAGTGCTATATCAAGTCTTCTAAGCTAAAGAAGAATATAATCATTATGATTCTTGCAAGTCCAACACTCAACAACAACATAACCATCTTTCTATGTTGAAGGAATTTGAAAGATCATTCATTCTACCAAAGCGACTTAGTGATTGTTCATTGGTTAGTTCTTGATCAGGCAATGAAGGACAAGTTAGCGAAGTACTCATGATCTGTCTCAAGCTAGGATTGCCACCAAAAGAAGCTAATACATACGTGGTAGTGCATGCGAATTGAAAGAGCTTCGCTTCGCTTTGTATTGTGTACACTTGATATATAGTGAAAATCTCCTTTAGTTTAAGGAGAAGAATGGAGTAGTAAAAAATTTTAATTTCCAAACCAAGCGCACGATATACAAATTTCTCTCTTTTGCACATTACATTTTATGTTATTTATTTGTGCAAACTAAACTCACACTCAATTTAATACAATCACGAAAACTCACAAAACTCAGCTACAACTCATTTTAATTACTTGTCAAGTTCAATACTTCTGTTGCAAAGAAATTTTATTTTCTTACTCTATTTTTAAAATCTTTAAAGTCTATTCAACCACCACTTCTAAACTTTAGTTTGCCCGGGACCAACAGATATATTAGACTTTATTCTTAACATTTGTTCACTACAAAACTCTCTTTTACTAAATTTCAACCAACTATATATTTAGTTGTCAATGGGTGAATCAAGACGATAAAAGGAGGGAATAAATAGCCAAAATAACTCACAAAATGTCAATGGGTTTTATACATGAACTGTACCATATATCTAATTTACAGTTTGAACGTTGTTGTTGGTTCATAATAAACATTAGAAAAAATATTACATTTGACAAATGATGTTACCGTTCTACAAAAGTAATTAAAACCAGTACTTTTTTATTCAGAAAAAGAAATTCTACCTTGCAAAATATGATCTCTATCTACTGTCACCTGGAGAGGAAGACTTACTCTTTGAGGTTTGTTGGAGATGATACATCAAATTCCCAGGATGAGGATTTGCCGAGGATGTCGTTGTCGGCCTACTCAACAAACTTGAAGAGCATTTATTTGGATTTGGAGATGGAGAAAAGCTAGAAAGGATGGGAAAAGGCTCGGCCGCTGCCTTCAAGTTCTGGCTTAATTTCTCCGCTAATCCATGGATTCCGAGGTTGTTTAAGGATGTTCCACTGTTTCCATTATTAGTGCCAATGATTGATGAAAGGGCAGCTGCTAATGCAGATTGGAAGTTTGGGTCGGAAGTGATCGCCTTTGTTGCAGCTGCAATGGTTTCTTGTGGGAGAGACTGTGAAGGAGTGTTGTTATTATTAAGGTTGTTTTTGGACAAATAGGATTGGAAAAGAATTTGATTGTCTTGATGAAAAGGTTGTTGTTGGTGTTGTTGTTGTTGTCTGGCAAAGCTAAGAGATGAGCTTATGTGGGGTTTGTTATAAGGTTGAGTAGTTCCAAGGTTCCAAGAAATGGGGAGAGGGTTTGATTCCAAAGAACTAAAGTTGAGATTTGTAGAAGAAAATCTTGGAGGGTAGTTTCCTAAACTTCCTATTCTACTTAGATTTGATGATGTGGAAGAGGGAGCCGATGAAGTTAAATCTAGGACGATTGTGGGGTGTCCAAGTGTTGGGGCTATTGAAGAGGTTGGGATGTAGAAGGGTTTTGGTTTTGAGGCGTCGGAGAGGTAGAAATTTAGTCCGTTGAGATTGGCGGTGGAGGTGGTGGTGGCGGTGGTGGTTCCTGGCGGCATTGAGGTGGAGGCGGAGGTTGATGAACCCGACATTAGCATGGAGGCGGCGGCGGAAGTGGTGGAGGCAATCGCGGTGGCTGAAAGTGGAAGTGGATGGTTGTGTGTTCCTTCATATGTTGTGATCAAAATTGACATGTCATCCGCACATCTTTGAACCTTCAATTAATTAACACTAATATTATTAGTAAAGTTAAACAAAGAATGAGTATTTATTACACAATATAATTGATCGATATATTAGAAACAAGTTCACAACAAGCTAACTTGAAGAGACATATCAAGGTAAACTTGGCCGGCCCTAAGGTCCCGAAACTGAGTTCAGCACTAGCCGCTCGACCTCAGGCGATTGAAGGCCAAGCTCAACACTCAACCTCGGGCACCCAAGGCTGAGCCGAGTGCTTGGTCTCGACTGCCAAAGGCCGAGCTCAGTGCTCAGCCTCGACTGGTCAGGGTCGGCATCGAGGCTGGGTGGAGTGCCTGGACGTGGCCAAAGGGCATAACCGCCCATCCTTTACTCGGGAGCGGTTATAGAGCCAGCCTAGTATAAATTTCTCCTATTATATTTGTCTTATCAATTAAGATATCACAATCTATATAACTATATTGTAATCACATTACACAAATAATTAATACAAGACTTTTGTCTCTTCAAGCTTCATATACCTTGTATTTTACTATTTATTCCTTAGTTATTTGTTTTGGTTAATACAGACCACCCGAGTAATCGAATTGTATATGCTTGTATACCTGTTTCCTTACTGGGCAGTTTGGAGCCACAGTGCAGCGATAGTATGCCCTAGGGCACGGATTCCCTTTCGCAATCTTCTGTCCATATTTCCTCCATTGGCACCCATCATTCATCTAATCAAAAAGAACAAAAAAAGTCACATTTATTCAATTTGAACTAATTAATTAGTTTTTTTATAACCAAATAAATAAACTCATGCATGCAAAAATTTATATTATATTATATTATATTATATGGGGTTAGGTTCCCGTGCGACCGGTGCAGGTTGTACCATTAGGTATGTATAAATGCATCAAAAAGTGTTCAAAAACACACTATTAGATGTGGTGCATTTATGCATACCTAATGGTGCAATCCGCACCGATTGCACGGGAAGCCATGTCCTCATTTGAACCGTATTATATTATATTATATTGTTAAATGCATACCGTTGGGGCATCACATCTGACCCTAACAGAAACCCTAGCTCTTTTAGCAGGGTTTTGTTGTGAAACTTCATCCTCTCCACTTCTTGTAGTTTTCAAGGCCTTACTTGGAGGCCAAGTCTCCCCATTTTCTTCCTTCACTTCATCTGAACTATTATCTGTGCTTTGATTATTGGGCTGCAAAGATTTGAATTTGCAGTCCAAGCCAAGAGTTAGGCCCTCTTTCTCATCATTTTCTTCATTATCTTTCCCAGCACCACACATTATTGATCTTTTCATCTCAGCTGAAGCCCTTCCCAGGCTAAGGGACACCAGCTGATCCGATTCTTCGGTTACTTGGGGAGTATTATTATCATTTTCGCTCTTTGCTGCTTTTTCTCCTTCTTCCTTTTCAACCATGCCTTGGAATTGCATCTGAAGCGTCCGATAATCGTTCATCATACGCTCCAAATACATCTTCAACCTTTGATTCTCTTCCATCACTTCCCCCATTTCAGCCTTTGCTGACTCAAGTAGCTCGTTTTCCTACATTATTCATCGCCAATATAAATAACGTTCACAAGATCGAGTTTCAAAGGCCAGAGCCCTTTGAAACTAATGGGTTTTTCAACTAATGGGATTGTGGGTAGTTTTTTTTTTTTTTTTTTTTGTTGGTTTTATTATTCCTGCGAATGCAAAACTTTTGTGGGGTCCATTAAACCAGATTAAAAGTCTAACAAGTGCTACAGGGTGCATGTCAAGTTTACTTGACACGCCTAGCTAGTGCATGCACGTCAATAAGTATTATTCTTTGATTCAAACTTAATATATCATTAAAACACCCTATTGAAAATGCAGACTTTTTCCCTTAAAGAAACAAATGTGGGGCTTCTAGGCTTTCTAGCTAGTTAGTTGTTCTAATTGTATGTAATTGTCAATAAGTTGCATATGAAGGAAAGAACAAGTTTGAATATGACACCCAAAAAGTCATATATAGTTTTGTCTGTTAGAATGTCTAAAACTGCAGTTAGTTGTCAAAGGTTTGAAAAATTGTTAGCTCATAATTAGCTAAGACGATTGGCCGGGGTTTGGCGTGCCGTAATCATATCAGTGTGCAAGCTTAGGGTTTTAAATATTTAAAAAAAAAATTGGTTCAATTATCTTCAATATCGTTTCATGTTCAATATTTAATTAATTATATTTAAAAAAGTTTTTGAAATATATAAATGATCAGTCATTCAATAAATATGAATGCTTTATTACAATAGCAGTATAACATCGTTTTAGGGTGGAAAAATAACATCTCATTATAATTCAGATAAGAATAATAGTCTAGGTGCATGAGAACTATAAACTATTATAAAATTTGAAAATTATTCATAAATAAAATGTGTTTGTAGTTTATTCTTATTTGTCAGAATTTATATTTATTTATTCCCCACCAGAGCCCATAAAGTTTACCACAGTATATCCTAGTTTTTAGACCTTAGAGTATTGGGTGTAGGTTAAATAGTTTTTCCAGTAATATGTTAATTAAAATTGTTATTAGTGGGGTCAACCTCTTAATTAGGGTTACCAAATAGGCAGTTTTCATTAGATACCAAAAATAATAAGAAAATTATATAATAGTCAAAGAAAAATGTTTTGGTGCGTTACGTTCTATTTTGAATGCTACTAGCTTCTATTACATTGTATCTGTTCATATACTTTCTCAACCTACTGAAACATAAAGAACCAATAACGCCTCCACTGAGGCTCGAACTTACAACCTTCCAATTAGAAGTCCAATCCGAATACCATTAGACCACATAGTCCTGGTCTATTTTGATGTTGTAATTTCAAAAAATAAATAAATAAATTAGTGAGTAATTTTGAAATAAAAAATATTTATTTTTATTTCATTTTTAACCACTCAGTACAACTAAAATATATATTATCATCCTTTCCAATTTTTTTTTTTTTTATTGAAAACACAAGGCGTTGTTTGGTAACATAGTTGCTTATAGCTAATTTTGGTTTATTTGTTACTATTAACTGTTTGACTTGGTTACATAATTAATATGAGTGTTTAATTAATTAGCTTTTTGTAACAGTTTATTGCTCCAAAATGTTAAAATTCAAATAGCTGCTCAAAACAGTTTTTTCGACAAATTTTTTGAGAATCATTTTGCATGTAATCAGCTACCAGCTAACATCTAATTTACCAAACACTTTTCTACAATCATCAATGTTTTCAGCTAGTTAAACTCACTAATCCAATCAGTTAATAGCTATCAGTTATCAGCTTTTTACCAAACACCAAAACAAAAAACAAAAAATAAAAAATAAAAAATCCCCCCATAATATGAGATCATTCGACAATTTTGGCTAAACGATTCCCCAATTCACAACGTGTCTATCCATTTCTTCTTCTTCTTTTTCTTATTGTTTGGAACTGACACATACAAACGTGATGATCCAATGCAACTTGCAGGAATTAAACAAAAAATAAATAAATAATTTAGTTTGGAACTGACAAATGACAATACAATACCTCTTTGTCTGAACTCAGATTTTTGTGGTTGGGTGATGAAGATGACTTCAAAGTGCCACGCTCCTTCTCTTTATTTCCATCTCCTATCTATATACACGCAATAATATATCAATACAATATATATTAATTTTGTTATTGGGTATTTAATTCTTTTATACAAAATTTAATTTAGCTGTGAATTTTAATTAATTTTATAATTGTAATAATACAAATATCTTATTTTTCTTTTTTTACAATAATAATACAAATATCATAGTCCTGTTAAAAAATTATTTTTATTTTTTCATTCAATGCCCTTGTAAAAATATACGCCGGCCTATTAATAAGTTTATTATCAGAAATTAAATTTATGGTTTTCAAAAGTCCTTAAGTTACATCAAGAAATATATAGATCTGGGTAAAAGTTTATGGTTCTCATATCCTATATATAACTAGACAAACATATTTTTATCCGAAAATCTGTCAAATTTATATCCAATAATCCATTCAAACCAAAAAATCATATATATATATATATATATATATATATATATATATATTGAAATATTAATGATTCTTTACCAGATAGTATCGGTTCTATACTTTCTCAATTTTTTCAGTTCAAAGAATCAATAAACCCATGTATATATAACATAACATATTTATATGTGATTTTGAAAATTTAGATGAGTTGGCATATATACCTCATGATCACCACTTGAATCTGCAGCTTTCTTCTTGTCTTCCTCCATGGATGCACCTTCAATATGAACTGATGGCTTTCTCTCTCTCTCTTATCTTCTTCTCTTAATTAGGCAAAGGTGGTCATATTTATAGGGTAAAGCCAACAGTCTCTGACTTGATTAAACTAAATGGAACTGTTCAACTTTCTTGGCTGACACACCCACCCACCCTCCCCCACCCCCACCCCCCACAAAAAAGGTCAATGCCCCAATTGCAATCAAGCTTGGGGATGCATTGAATTAAATTAAACTGTGCAGTAAATAACAAATAATTAGAAAAGAAATTGAAGAAGAAGAATTCAACTTTCAACGCTGGAGTCTCAGAGAAATATAAAACATACAACAATGTCGTCGTGAGAGAAGGGGATGGAGGGTTTTGCTCCGCAAAGGTCGCGCTCTCTCCTACGTTAGTCTTGTTTTTCATATGGATTTCAAGTTGGTACAGCTATTTTTGAAGTTTCGTAGGTAGTTGAAGTCACATGCAATGCCCACACTCGCCGGTCAAACGCAGCCGTATATCTTCCGGTGACCGGAGGGAGAAGGCCAATCATATTTTTTTTGGAATTTTTGGATGATTTTTCAATTTGCCCTTACGTTTTTCTCCTCATCCAATTCCTCAAGTCAAACTTGGATTCTATTACTTTACTTCTAATTAATACCATATGAGGTCTATTTCCCACAACCAAAAAATTCGTATAAATACATTGTTTGGCCTAGAAAATAATAATAACAACAACAATAATTGATGGGGCTTAGGTTCTAACCCGTTACTTGTGAAAGGTGGGCCGGTCCATGAGGGGGTGGACATGGGATAGGCGGGGCATGGGTTTGGTGGACAAGGGTTGTGGCCATGTGGAGTGTGGTGAACCGGAGGAGGGGGGGGGGGGTTGGGGCGCGAGCCCCCGATGGTCCTGCTGGCTAGCCCGTGGCGTGGCCGCTAGGCCGGGCCTTACACGTCCCTCGACGTGCTGCCGGCGAGGGGTGAAGTCGTGACACCGACGAGGGGATGCGGACGTGATGCTTGGGGGTGAGGTGTTGTTGCATGGACTGGTGGTGGCATGAAGTGCGGAGATTATGGCGTTACACTTGGTTGGTGCTCGTGGATCCTCTTCTATTATAAAAAGGGATGTTTTATCCAGAAGAAGGCATCACGATAACACAATATAATCCACCCCATATTTTGATGGCCTCGACTTGGCACCTTGAACTAGGTCGTCATTGTTCGAATCTTCTCGCGTTGTTTATTTATCTTCTAGTATTCTTGTGGTAATTAGGCCTTGCTTGGGCCTAGTGCTCGGGTGATAAAAATCGCTATTTTCACCAATATACCCGATCGCGACAAAACCATCAATAATAATAATAATAATAATAATAATAATAATAATAATAATAATAATAATAATAATATTATTATTATTATTATTATTATTATTATTATTATTAACTCAACATTTGAAATTCATGTAATATTCTCAATCAAAGCCTTTAAAATTAATAAGTCAGTGCTAAAAAAATTTTAAAACAAAAATAAACTCTATTGATGGTTTTATTGGGACCGGGTCCACCATAAACCAGGTATAGTGATACAGAACGAGAATAGGAAAAGAGTAACTTTATTACTCGGGGCGCTAAGCCCAAAACAATAAGTACCAAGCCCGAGGTACAAGCCCAGAATGGCGGCCCAAATATAAAGAACATGGCCCACGGGGTGGGTTATAGCTAACTATGCTATTGAAAGGAATCGAACCTAGGTAGCTGGGTTGAGAATATAGACCAAGGACTACTAGACCAGTATGCCTGTAGTGTCTGAGTTGCCTTTAGCCAAAGATCCAGGGCCCCTATTTATAGCAGGCCCTCCTCCCTTTTGGCTGTGTACGTGTCCCACTACTCAAACGCCACTCCTCGTTTGTCGCACAGCAGTCCGCACGTTCGCCACGAACTGACGCCCCCACCTTCTTCTCCCGTGCACCCCTCGCACCCGCCCGGTGCCGGCGACTGCACGCCCCGCGCCCCCCGCGATGGGGCGCTAAGCCCGCGTCCAGCCGCGCACCGGGCGCGCTACCGCCGGCTGGGGCCTCGGGCCATGGGCGCTGGTTGGCCACCGCCCACGTGGCCTCGCACGGGGCGCTACGCCTGCACCAAGCCGCGCATGGCGCGCTGGTCGCACTAGCCGCGCCGAGCAAGGGCATACTGCCCGAGCCAATTCGGCCCTCTCCAGCGACGCTTCCCGACGACACCCCAAACCAACTCCCGTTCACCAGCCCCCCCTTTCGGTCCATGCTCTTCACCTCGGCCCATCATGCATGTTTGTCTTCCCAGCCCAACAAGACTTGGGCCAACCTCCTTCTTTCACCACCCCCACTTGGCCCAATACTTTCCCAATAAAATAGACCCCCTAGGGTCCCATATCCCCATCACAAGTCCCCCACTTTCTTTAGGCATCTGGATGCCTGAAAGAAGTATAATTTAACATCACATCCTCCTCCTATTTCCAAACTCAAATCCCAGTTCCCAAACTTTCCAGATATCCTCCTCACAAGTCCCCCCGTACGCTGCCGCCACCTTCCATCATCACCATTGTCATGCGTGACGTTGTTACTCCGTACCTCTGCCACACACTGCACGTCGCCATAGCCTTCGGTTCTTCACCTAGTGTCGAGAGGTCAAGGATTGTCGCTTCTTGGATGCTTCGTGTACTGGACATCTCCTTTGTTGCATTTATTTAATCTACGTTTGTTGATTTCTCCATGTTGCACGTGCATGCTTCTTTTGAATATTCATTGGATGACTTTGCTCCATCTCCATGCAGCACCTGCATGTGGTTTTTTTTTTTTTTTTCTTTTTTTAGCTTTAGACATAGCCTCCACCCCTTTTGGGGGGAGGGATTACCTTTTGCTTAGCGGGCTGAGCACCCTCTGGAACTTGTATAATGCATGCTACAAAAAAGCCCGCGGACTACCTATCCTGCCATGCAAGTCCGCGTATGTGAGTTGCGATAACCCACCTGCCCCAGCCACCAAAATGCACGCAGACTGGCTACCATGTCATGCAAGTCCACGCATGCGGGTTGCGATAACCCACACGCCCCATCCGCCAAAAGCCATGCGGACTGCCACGTCTAGCAAATCCGCGCATGTAGGTTGCGATAACCAACATGCCCCAGCCACCAAAATGCATGCGGATTGCCTATTGTGCCATGCAAGTCCGTGCATGCGGGTTGCGATAACCCACACGCCCCATCCGCCAAAAGCCATGCGGACTACCAAGTCTAGCAAGTCCGCGCATGTGGGTTGCGATAACCCACATGCCCCAGCCACCAGAATGCACGCAGATTGCCTACCCTTCCATGCAAGTATACGCATGTGGGTTGCAATAACTCACATGCCCCAACCACCAAAATGCATGCGGACTGCCCACCCTACCATGCAAGTTCGCGCATGCGGGTTGCGATAACCCACACGCCCCATCCTCCAAAAGCCATGCGGATTGCCAAGTCTAGCAAGTCCGCGCATGTGGGTTGCGATAACCCACATGCCCTAGCCACCAGAATGCACGCGGACTGCCTTCCCTACCATGCAAGTCCGCGCATGTGGGTTGCAATAATCCACATGCCCCAACCACCAAAATGCATGCGGACTGCCTACCCTGCCATGCAAGTTCGCGCATTCGGGTTGCGATAACCCACATGCCCCAGCCATCAAAATGCATGTGGACTACCTACCCTGCCATGCAAGTCCACGCATGCGGGTTGCGATAACCCACATGCCCCAGCCACCAAAATGCATGCAGACTGCCTACCCTGTCATGCAAGTCCGCGCATGCGGGTTGCGATAACCCACACGCCCCGACCACCAATTTTACACAGGCTGCCTACCTCGCCATGCGAGTCCGGTACTGGATCATCCGAATGGCCATGGGGCTAGCATGCATAGCACATAGGAGCACATAGTTTGAGAAAATAAACATAATATTTACTGAACTAAGTGTAAAAGTGTACTCACCAGGGTAGCGTCTGAATGTGCTAAGTGTGTTACCTCGTAGGGTAGCTCATCATGCGAATCAGCCATTTGGGCATTACATCGGAATCTTGCGCAGATAATAGAGACTATAAACACGGGCTAATCATAGCAATCTTGACAGACGGCGCAAATGATGGTTTTATTGGGACCGGATCCACCATAAACCGGGTATAGGAAAAGAGTAACTTTATTACCCGGGGCGCTAGGCCCAAAACAATGCGTACAAAGCCCAGAATGGCGGCCCACGGGGTGAGTTATAGCTAACTATGCTACTAATAAGAATTGAACCCAGGTTTCTAGATTGAGAGTATAAACCAAGGACCACTAGACCAGTGTGTCTGTATTGTCTGAGTTGCCTTTACCCAAAGATCCAGGGTCCCTATTTATAGCAAGCCCCTCTCCCCCTTTAGTTGTCTACGTGTCCCACTACTCAAACGCCACTCCCTCGTTTGTCGCACAACAATCCGCACGTTCGCCACGAACCGACGCCCCCACCTTCTTCTCCCGCGCACCCCCCGCACCCTAGGTGGCCCCACCCGCCCGGTGCCGGCAACCGCACGCCGCCGCGCCCCTCGCGATGGGGGCGCTAGGCCTGCGCACCGGGCGCGCTGCCGCCGGTTGGGCCTTCGGCCATGGGCGCTAGTCGGCCACCACCCACGTGGCCTCGCACGGGGCGCTACGCACGCGCCCAGCCACGCATGGTGCGCTAGTCGCGCCGGGAAAGGGCGCACCGCCCGAGCCAATTCCGCCCGTCGCCGGCGTGGCTTCCCAACGATACCCCAAACCACCTCCCGTTCACCAGCCCCCCTTCTAGTCCATGCTCTTCACCCCGGCCCACCATGCATGCTTGTTTTCCCAACCCAACAAGACTTGGGCCAACCTCCTTCTTTCACCACCCCCAGTTGGCCCAATACTTTTCCAATAAAATGGACCCCCTAGGGTCCCATATCCCCATCACCTATAAAGGCGACCCTTCTCCTTCGCCGAAGAAGGCCACCCATCCGGTTACCTTCTCCTTCGTTGGAGAACGCAACCTGGGTTGCCTTCTCCGTCGCCAAAGAAGGTGACCCATCTGGTTACCTTTTCCAGCAAAGGAGGAAGTAAACGA